ACAAAACCAGCAACAACCCCACCAATAAACACACTACTAACAACCCCACCAATAAACACCACCACACACCCTCTAAACACCCTTAACAACCCCCTAACTCCGTTTGCTGCAGCAGCAGACGCTGCAGCTTCCTCTCACACCAGAAATATAAATAACAACAAAATAAAACAAAGAGAAAGACAACCAAATAAGCGAATGAGAAAGAATGAGCCAACAGAATACCAACAACAATCGCAGCTGCAGCAACTGCAGCAACTGCAGCAACTGCAGCAGCAGCAACAGCAGCAGCAGCAACAGCAACTGCAGCAACAGCAACAGCAGCAACAGCAGCAGCAACAACAGCAGCAACAACAACAGCAGCTGCTGCAACAGCAGCAGAAGCAACAACAGCAGCTGCAGCTGCAACAGCAGCTGCAACAGGAGCAACCCCAACAGCAACAGCAACAACATCAGCAAGAACAACACCAGCAGCCGCAACAACACCAGCAGCAGCAGCATCAACAGCAGCAGCAACAGCAACAGCAGCAGCAGCAGCAACTGCAGCAGCAACCGCAACAGCAGCAGCAGCAGCAACTGCAGCAGCAACAGCAACAGCAGCAGCAGCAGCAACAGAAGCAACAGCAGCAGCAAGAGCAACGAGAGCAACAACAGCAGCAGCAGCAGGAGGATGATGGCTCTGCTGCTGCAAGCGAATGTGGTGATGATTGGGAGGAGGTTTACGGGGCGGAGCTTTTGCTGCTGAACACAGACCTGATGCCGCTCGATTGCTGCTGCAGCTGCAGCAGAAGCAGCAGCATAAAAACACAAACAATATACAACGCAGACAGAGACACAGACACACTCCATGCAGACATATTCAGCGATACACACAAAATTAAATGCAAATATAAATACAACCAGAAAAAGAAAGACAAAGAAAAAGAAGAAAAAGAAGAAAAAGAAGAAGAAGGAGAAGAAGATGAAGACAGAGATATAAATGCAGAGACAAAAAAACACAACGCATGCACAAAGACAGCCAGTACCTTCCCTGTTGTCTGTAAGAACAATCAACACACACTTTATAGATTTAGGGTTTAGGGTTTAGGGTTTAGGGTCCAGGGTTTAGGATCGGAGGGCTGTGTTATATATATATATATATATATATATATATATATATATATATATATATATATATAGTTCATTGTTTTTGTTTTTGTTTTGTTTGTATTTCAGCTCCGCTGTGTTTATATGCGAAGGAGCCGCTTGGTTGGGGTGTACATGCAGCTGATTATTTTTCTTTTATTGAGGAAGCGGTGAAAGTTTTAGTTAAAAAGGCAGCAGAAGAAGAAAAAGAAACAGAAAGAAAACAAGAAAAAGAAGAAGAAACAAAAGAAAAAGAAGAAAAAGAAGAAGAAATCGAAGAAAGGGAAATAGATATGCAACAAGAAAAAGAAAAAGAAAAAGAAGAAACAGAAAATAAAACAGAAAAAGGAGAAACAGAAAAAGAAGAAAAAGAAAAAGGAAAAACAGAAAAGGAAGAAATAGAAGATAAAGAAAAGGAACAAACAGAAAAAGAAAAAGAAAAAACAAAAAAAGAAAAAGAAAAAGAAAAAGAACATTGCAAAGAGGGAACCACCGACAGGCAACTAACAGAAACAGAAAAAGAAAAAGAAAAAGAAAAAGAAAAAGAAACAGAAAAAGAAAGAGAAAAAGAAGAAATAAGATTACACAGAGAAGAAACAGAAGAGAAGAAACAGAGGAGAAAGGAAAAAGAAGAAAAAGAAAAAGAAAAAGAAGAAAAAGAAGAAAAAGAAACAGCAATACAAACAGGCGGAGAAATAGAAAAAGAACAAAAAGAAGAAGAAAATAAAGAAAAAGAAAAAAACAAAAAAAAAGAAAAAGAAGAAATGCAACAGAAAGAAGAAACAGAACAACAAAAAGAAGAAAAAGAAGGGAAGCAAACGATAGACGGAGAAGAGCAACAAGAACAAAAAGAAAAAGAAGAAAAAGAAAAAGGAAAAGAAGAAAAAGAAAAAGAAGAAAAAGAAGAAACAGACAAAAAACAACAAGAAAAAGAAAAAGAAAAAGAAAAAGAAGAAAAAGAGGAAGCAAAAGAAGCAAAGGAAAAACAACGAGAAGAACAAGCAGACGAAAAAGAAAAAGCTAAAGAAGAAACAGAAAAAGAAAAAGAAGAAAAAGAAAAAGAAAAAGAAGAAAAAGAAGAGAAAGAAAGCCAAGAAAAAGAAGAAAAAGAGAAAAAAGAAAAAAAAGAAAAAGAAGAAAAAGAAGAAAAGGAAAAAGCAAAAGAAGAAAAAGAGAAAGAAACAGAAAAAGAAAAAGAAGAAAAAGAAAAGAAGAAAGAAAAAGAAAAAAAAGAAAAAGAAAAAGAGAAAGAAAAAGAAGAAGAAGAAGAAGAAGAAAGCGGTGGTTTGGCTGTTGACGACCTGCTCACCCTTCTACA